CAGGCATCCCAGAAAGGTGTGAGGACTGAGTCCCAGGAATGGTATGTGCATGTGCATGCAAGCAATTCTGGCAGCTTCATTTCAGCAGCACTGTTGCCGCTTCAAAAACGACACTGGGGTGAACCGGAAATGCCAACACGCAGCACACAGTCTAGTTCTATGTCATTCTAGGTCCTAGGTACTATGCAGAGCTCATGTACACTGGATACATTTGTCCTGAACTTGGTGGGAAGAAACGTGTTCCCGGCCTGTGCCGCTCTCCATCTGCTTCACGAAGCGCTTCTTCCTCAGGACTTATCGGCTGCTTAAAAGCTTCGAACAAAAGTGTTGAGTTCCAGGCGTATCTTCGGCCAACCGCCGATGTTGAGGCAAACCTCGGTGCGGGCTGGAGTACCAGAAGAACGAATGAATGAACGAAGTAAATAGCAACTCGGGTCATGGCATGGCTTCCCCTTCATGAGGCATCGGCTCACCCTTCCCATGGACTCTCGGGGCATGCCTAAAATTAACTTGGAACTCCGAAGATATGCAATGCGCACGCTGCATGTGCTGAATCCCTTGAACCACAGGGGCAAACAGGAACGAATTTCCAAGACTCCAAACAATTGCCAAGCACTTCAGTTCAGGAAACACTAGTGAGATGTGCAGACCTTGACGTTCCGGCGTGCCTGGCCTCTTGCTGCAGGCTGCAGGATCACTCATGAGATAGAGCATTGACAAGCTGACAAGAGCACATCAAAACCTCAAAGCGAAGTAGAATGTTTGCCGCCACTGTCACTGCATCTCGATTTTTCGGTAACTATATAGTATTTAGAATTTAGGGGAAGTTAGGGCATTAGGGTTTTTTGTCTGTCACAAGTCGCAAGGTCAATCTTCGCCCACCCTTGTCCCACCGGCCCACCAGTTGTTTTTCCTCAAAAACAACTCATTCCACCTGCGGGTGCGGGGGGGGAGGGGGGGAAAGGGGGGGGGAGGGGGGGTGATACTGTCGCGCTGATGACGGGTGTCATCCCGGCTCCCGGCTCCCTTTTGAACAAATTAACAACCAAAAAAACGGAAAGTTCACGAAGCTTGGTTCATAGGCGTTCAGTTGAATCATGCAACAGAATTTTGTGAAACATCCTCCAAAACACCCTTAACCAAGACAAACAAGGACACCGCACAACCTACCATATTACACCATCGATCAAAAGACGATGGAAGTCTCCCGGCGAGAAGTCCCGCTCGACCAAATGGGAGTCCCCAGCGCAGAAGCTTCAGCATCAGATCAGATGATACCAGCAAGATCAGCGCACAGGTCAGCCAAGAAGAAGCCGCCAAATCCACCATTACCCGTGAGCTGTCGGAAATGCACAGATTTCAGTTTCTTGGGAACCAACGCTTATGTGCAGGTCAAGACTTGCAAAGATTGCGGTAAGATTGAGAAGACGAAGAAGGAGATGCCAGAGAAGAAAGACATCAACCTTTGTGAGCACAAGAACACAAACCGGCTAGGTTCCAATAAGGCAACGATGAGGGTATTCTGCAAGGATTGCGGGAATTTCATTGATGAGATGCCGAGAGAGGAAGCGAAGAGACGACAGGCGATAGGAAGAGAGGTTGAGACCATGTCGGCAGCGTCGTTTGACTTGGTATCGAGCATTCAGCAGTCCGTGAGTCAGGGTACGGAGTTGACTACCGAGCAAGCAGTGGTTGTCTTGGACGATTTCAGAACCCAGGTAGAGGACCACATGGTAGCACAAGATGTAGCTGGAGAAGCAAAGCCTACCATTTCGGCAGAAATCTTGCATGGCATACTCCAAGATTGCATTGAAGCATCACAAGTGGCCGAAGAACCTGATCCACCTCGTGGACCGGTAGGTGTGACGGATTGGTCTGGACCCTCTGCAGCTCCATCGGCAAGCCGTCAGAGGACAGGATATGCGCCACGACGTTCGGGATTCATGGCAACTCTTGAGGAACCCGGACCCCTGCCTAACGATGAGGTTGGATTGATTCTCCCAGTGGTTGACATTATGGAAGACGAAGATGTTTGGGCTACTTTGGATGAAGGGGCAAACAGCAGCGTTGCCGGTGGTCAGTGGATGAACAGAACGGAGTCCAAGTTGAGGGAGTTGGGATTCGAGTGCCCGTGGATTTCCTCCGAAACCAAAACATTCAATGGACTTGCCCACAGCGCCTCAACCGTTGGTACCCGGCGGATTCCCTTCAGCATTGAGACTTTCGGGAGTTCACTCCTTGACCGTGGTGGCAAGGATGGTTTGACCCATGACCCGAACAGCAGTGGAGATCGGGATTTTACTTCGGGTTTGATGGATGTGCATGTCCTACCTGACGACACAACGGCTCCGCTTCTCATGTCGCAGTTTGCACAGAGTAAGTTGGGGTTGGTGAAGGACATGGGGAATTTTCGGTGTTACCTTCGAAAGGATGGCCAAGAATGGATGGTTCCATTAGCCCGAGCCAGGGGGAGTAATCTTCTGTGCATCAACTTGACCAAGGGTTTGAGACAGAAGACGGAGTTGCCTAAGGCCATTCGGAAGCTCAGAACATCACAGGCAGTGTTGACTGCTAGCTACACAGCTACCACTGAGAGCGAGAGAGTGGCGCGAAGCAGTGAAGGGGTTCTCGAGGCTCTGCCCTCCATGGAGGTTTACGCGGCATCGGCCGGTCGTAACTTTAGTGTGCAGGCTGCGGAGTACTTGAGAGATCCTTCCCATCAGAGGGCTGTGTTGTTGGCGAAAGCATGCTTTCCAGATCATCGCATTGCGGACGATACAGCTATCTTTGTGATGGATACTCTGCGGTTGCATGACCCAGAGGAGCGGCCACAGACTCGTGGACATGTGGGGAGGCACCCCGATACGCTTGCGGCACCGCTACGAGATGAGAACTTCCTTGCAAACATGCGCGAGCTCAAGCAGCGGCTGGAGCAGGATGGATCGGTGCGACCGAAGCGTTGTTATGCAATTTATATCTGTAATCAGTCTCGGCATAGATCAGTGGCAGGCGCGGAGCTTACAGATGCGGTAGTGCCGGAGGGCACGAGGCTTCAGATTGTGCACACTGGCGAGAGGAGCTCATGGCCTCAGATGAGATCTTGTTATGGCCGTTGTGATATTTGCACTTGGTCAGACAGATGGACGACTCATCAAGTCGAGAACATCTTGGAGGAGGCTCGCCAATGGATCACAAGGGCGCAAGGACGGCCCACGAACGCGGCGAAGTTTTATGGAAAATGGACCTGCGAGCGCGCAGAGCCGAAGCCGAAGGTGAGAGCAGAACGCACCGAGTATCTTGAGCCTCGTTCGAAGGTGAAGGCTAAGGCCAGGCCGGCTGTGCGTGTTGTGATTCCTGATGATCTTGAGCCGGCCGTGCGTGTTGCTGCCCCTAAGCCATCGACTTCCCGAGCTGTGAGCTCTGCTCCGAAGCCTTCTTCCCGATCAGAGAGCCCTGCTGGGTCTGTTCCGGCTGAGAGTGCTGCGACGACGACTGATCCGGTGGCATTGGCTAGGATTCAGGCGTTGGAGTCGGAGGTGAGTAGGCTGGCAGGTTTGCTTGAGACTCGGAGGGATGCCAGGGAGGAGCCCGCGAGCAGGAAAAGAGAGCCACTCCCGAGGCAGCGAGCCAGGGATGTGACTCCGCCGTGGAGGAGCCGATCGCCTTTGCAACGGCGGCCGACAGTGGCACCTAATGCATCCGTCGCGACGACTGGGAATTACCCCGAAATGGAGGAACTGATGATCAGCGATGGTGCAGGCGATTGGCGTGGCCGTATTGATTTCCAGAGTTGGATGACTAATGGAATCGTCGAGCGTATTTTTGCAACTGGTGTGCATTGGATGCGGCCCACTCAGACCCGGAATATCTTCAAGCCCAGGGTCATGACCTGGATTGGACCAGGATCCGCGCACGAGAACATTCAGCGGAATATCAAGGTACAGGTGTACAAGGATGCAGACCAGGCCGTAAGCAATCTTGCCAATGAGCTGAAGGCTCTCAGGTGGGTGGAGGTGACATTCGCTCGGCGCCCATCGGGATGGCAGATGTATGGCCCGGTTGCTGCAGGGACCACTCGCTTCGTGCCGGATGCGAGCGATTTCGTGGTTGTACAGTTTCCGAACAGCGAGTCAATGCGGAATCCGGCATACACAGCAGTGCTCATGTCGAAGCAGCAGTCTAGTACGTATGATTCGGGAGTGAGAGTGGTGAGCCACATGGACAGATTTGTTCACATGACTGCGGGCATGACACATGATGATACGGAGAAGCCAACTTCCCTCATCCTCATTCACGACAATCAGCCATTCCAAGATGGCACTGGGATCTCCCAACATTCCGCGAAGGATTTCAAGTTGAGCCGACTGGTTCACGAGATCAACGAGTTCAGGCCAGGGGTAATCGTCTACAAGGCATCGGAACCGGAACGGAGTGTTATCGTAGATCTTCTGTGCGAGTCGGATGCATCTGGAGTGACAGTCTGTGTGGTAGCACCCCTAGGAAAGATCCCGGATTGCGGAGTGCAGATTCATGAGTGTCGAGGTGATGCAAACATGATTTGTGTTGGACCGTTGGCCAGCACAGTGGGGCGTGATATCGTTACATGGTTTGAGGGTAACGGGTACACCCCAAAAGCATACACGGATACAAACTCCTATTCCTTTCGCGACTTCCTGAAATCACTGGCTGATGACGCTTATTTGGAGATGCTTTCCACAGCCATGGTTGCCGAATCGGGAGGTGATGGTCAGGATGTGGAGTTAGATCTGGAAAACTCAGACACAGAAATGAACCCAGAGAGAGAGCCGCAGGGAGCACAAGATGAGAATCGGAACGCTCAGAATGAGGGTGATCGGGAGATTGAAGACGCAGCTGAACGCATTCTGGAACAAGCCGGGCAACCGCAACTTACCCCATTAGAGCGAGAGCGCGAGTGGTTGGAAACACTACCACTACCAGGAGTGCCGAAATCGGAAGCCGAGAGACGCAAGATGTGGCGAATGCTACCGCAAAAGGTTCGAGTGGCAATCAGGAGACTCCATCGGCAGTTCAATCACCCAGCGCCCAAGACCCTAGTGGCGATACTCAAGGCCGGAGGTGCATCGAAGGAGTTCATCGAGGCAGCCAAGTTAGCGAAGTGTGATTCGTGCATCAAAACATCAGGGAAGCCGAGGCCTCATCCCGTAGGTTTGGGACACGGAGAGTATCGAGTGGGAGATGTTCTGGGGATTGACGTTCTTGAAATTTCCGATTCGGGAAAGCAGAAGTATCAGTGCGTCAACTTGGTCGACATGGCATCAGGATTTCAGCAGCTTGAAGTGCTTCGACCGGTAGGCGAGCACGCAGGACCACCAAGCGCAGAGTCTTGTTTGGAAGCAGTCCAAAGATGGGTAACTTGGCTAGGGTTGCCAAGAGTGCTCATGGCAGACCGTGGCACCCACAATCGGGGCATATTCAACAAGTGGGCATCAGAGAAAGGAGTTGACATAAGGTACGCCGCGACCGAGGCCCCATGGATGATTGGGAAAGTAGAAAGGCACGGAGGGCTTGCGAAAGCCGTGGTGAGAAAGGTAGTGCATGAAGTGGGTACCACAGGGGTTTCAGAGATCCGAGCAGTGGTTCAAGAAGTCATCGGAGTCAAGAATGCAATGATGAATACTTCTGGGTACAGTCCAATGCAGTGGGTTACAGGCCGAAACCCAAGGGATCCAGGAGCGATGACCGATGAGCACGGATGGCTGGACTTAGGTGCAATGGAATCAAAGCACGATGGGAGCAGCGAGTTCGCATCACGGCATCAGGCAAGAATGGCTGCGAAGAAAGCCATGATTCATTTGGATTGCAGTCGCAGAGTCCAAAAGGCATTGACCCGGAACGCAGCTCCGATCAAGGAGGATTACCAGCCAGGTGATTATGTCGTGTATCGGCGAGATGCTCAGGCTGGTGGAACGAAGTGGAGCAGCGCATCAAGAGTGATCGGTAAGGAAGGGTCAGAGTCGATTTGGGTTATACACGGTGGAGTGCCGGTATTGTGCTCAGTTCATGCCCTACGCCCAGCTACCGAAGAAGAAGTCATGTCTCATTGCATGCTACAGGGGATCCCGTTGCTGCCTACAGAGTTGACAGAGGGACCCAGAGGCAAGAAAGCATACATTGACAAGCGTCAAAAGACAGAACCAGCAAAAGCAGCTAAGCAGCCTGACGCGAAGAAGCGGAAACAAGAGGGAGCAGCGTCCAAGGACATTCCCATTCCAAGCAGCAGCGAAAGCAGCTCAAGCTCAGAGTCCAGTGATGAAAGCGAAGGACAAGGGAATACAGCAATAGATAAGACGGGCACAATCCCGGAACATCAAGCTGAGCAGAACAACACCGCGCATGAAGCACATCAAGCAGATGGAAATACAATGACGGAGTGTGAAAGGCTAGCCAAACAGGCCTTGGAACACGAAGATTACACTCCGAGAACATGTTTGCAGGTGTTGAGAGCATGTCAGTTCCCGAAGAAGAGGAAGCGGGACATCAATCAGACCGGTGAGTGCATGAGCTTTGGAACTTATGCGCATGGTCCGTTTTCAGGGGTGACAAAAGCAACATTGGAGCACCCATGGCTTGTTCTGTATGTGAACGAGTACCTACGCGCACGTGGGGCTACGGAGGGGTGGTCCAGCTTCGTGATTCATTTGAATGCAGAGACCCCGAAGCACACGGACAACCACAACATGCCAGGATCGGTGAATCAACTCACCAGCTTAGGACCTCACGAAGGAGGACAGATATGGGTTCAAGACCCTGGAGGCCAGTCCAAGCGCATGGATTACGAAGGTCAGGATGGGAGAATTCTGAAGTGCAAGCACAGGGTCGTGACATTCGGACCTGATCAGGCGCATGCTACACTTCCTTTTGAAGGTGAGAGATGGTCTATTTCAGCATACGCCAGTCGAGGTTTTCCTAAATTGACAAAGCAACAGCACAAGGACCTCGCTGATCAAGGGTTTAATGTGGAACCATTGAAAGCACTAGCCAGAGCAACAGGGAGTTCGTGCATGACAGCCGCTTGTCATCAGGGAGAACATCATCAGGACGACGTCAAGGTCGTGGACACTCAGGCGGAGGAGTCAGTGACGCAAGAGCGCGACCTCCCCATGGAATCATTGATGACCCGAGGTATGACTGAGGATCATTGGCGTGTGGCTACGGGATTCTTCTTCAGGGTGCACATGAAGCCCAGAACAGGCCTCTACACCCCAAGTGCCGATGATTTCCCAGGTGATATTAGCCGGGTGAGTCACACAAGGGTAACACACAAAACCTTTTCAGGTGGAAGAACAGATCATGTTACCGATGAGTGGGGAATGGTTCGCGAAGCAGATGAGAATTCAGATGGACCGTGGACGGGATTCACATTGTTCAAGTATGCTGATACTGAGGCGGAATTATCTTCATTACCTCAGGCGCCAGTGGAGTCAGCGGAGTATCAGGCATTCTTGAGTGACAGAATACTACCCAAAAATGAACCGTTCGGTGAAGCAGTGACTGGTAAGAAGCCGAAGAAGCTTGACATCAACAGAGTGGATGAGAAAACAGCCCAAGGGATTCACGAGGCCCGAGGACAAGAATGGGAAAAGTACAAACAGTACAATGCAGCAGTTCCCATTATGGGACCAATGCTAGAAGGCCTACTTCGAGAAGGACACATCCCGATCCCAAGCCAGTGGGTGGATGTCGACAAGAACGAATTCAAGAAAGGTCGGAGCGACTACCAGCCAAGGTACAGGAGCAGACTGGTGTCGTGCGGGAACTACGAGAACGTCTCCCGAAATGAGCTAAGGTGTGATGCGCCCACGGTGGACGCAGAAACCCATTGTCTGATCGCAAGTTACGCGGCTTGCCGCAAGATAAAGCTCAGGTGCGGGGATATCTCTTCGGCATACTTTCAGTCAGAACCGCTGGAAAGGGTAATCATCATGAAGCAGCCGCGAGGAGGATTGCCCGGTGTGCCGCCAGAAGCTATGTTGCTGTGTAGGTTGCCGGTGTATGGCACAATGGATGCTGGCAGAGGGTTCTACACACGTCTGTGCAATGTGTCATGTGAGGAAGGACTCAAGGTAAGCAAGATTGCAACTGGATTGTACTACGTGCTAGGGTCTGACAACCTTCCTGCAGTGCTGCTGGGGACCCATGTAGATGACCTGCTTTGGTGTGCGACGCCAGAAGGAGAAGAGATCATGGACAAGATCATGGCCAAGTTTGACATGGGGAAGATTGAGGACACGGATTTCCGGTATTGCGGCCGGAGGTTTAGACAGGATGCCGACTTCAACGTGACCATCGACACGGAGGACAACACAAGGTCCATTCGGCACATCAGTATCGATCCGAACCGCAAGGGCACAGAAGCAGCAACGGAACAAGATGTGACACGGTTGCGCAGTGTAGTAGGCTCGTTAGCGTGGGTTGCAAGGTACTCGCGTCCGGATTTGTGCTACCGAGTCAACTGCTTGCAGCGTGCTTGCGCGAGGGCAACAGTGGCCGACTTGAGGGATGCCAACCGAGTGGTGGATCTAGCCAAGGCGGATATGGGAATCGCAATGTATTACCCAGCGGGAAAATTCTCATGGCATGATGCGTGTGTGGTCAGCTTCTCGGATGCAAGCCATGCCGGAGAAGAAGGGCTACGGAGCCAACAAGGCCGATTCCACTACATCACATCGGAGAAGATGGTGGATACCAATGAGCACGACGCGCACATCATCGGCTATGGTTCGACAACCATTCGCCGGGTATGTAGAAGCACCCTTCAGGCTGAAACCTATGCGATGCAGGCTGCGGTCGAGAGTGGTGACCGGCTACGGGCGCAAAACCTACACGGTCTACGATGGTCATGGTGACCGCCTTCGCTGGACTGATACGGCGACACAGCTCGCCGACGCATTGACAAAGTCGATGAAGCCATATCAGCTTTTCAAGGTAATGCGTGAAGCCAAGGTTTACCTCAGTGACCCAGAGAAGAAGATCAAGAAGGGCACACAACAAGGTGACCAGTGACAAACCTGAGACTCCTTTAAGGACGAGGTGTGCTGAGTCATGTGAATTGGCATGGAAATCGCGAGCTAGTAGTAGCTTGGAATAGCGATCTAGTAGTTGCCGCAGAGTCGCTTGCATGTTTTTGGTGTACAGTTTTAGTCTTGACAGCCGGCATGCGTCAGTAGATAAGACGGGTGAGAATACCTCCTCGTTTTGCAATGTGTAGCCTGAGCGCATGCCTAGGTAGCCTTCATTGTAAAGTGCTAGTGCGGTAGGAAGCATCAAACATGAATGCAAACCGCAACATTACTCTCAAAGGCGCCTTGAGCATAGTGGCGAAAAAGTAGCTGTCCGAAGCGCTTTGTTACCAAACATAGTTACATATGTTCATATACACCTACGTGTATATGCATTTATGCCTGTATGCATACAGACGTATACAGGTCTAGACGCGAATGGTAAATCAGAAGAGGTCCAAGTACTGTAGCAAGAACAGGCACAAGTAATAACTGTTCTGCGGATCGGGACCCTCTTTTTGCGATTCCCAGGTGTCCCCATCGTTCCAGCGCTTTAAACCTAAATGCCTGTCCCCGAATCAGCGGAACCCGTTCAGGATTTAGGAAGCAAGCTTCATTGCAGGCCTTGGGGCTTGGGGCTTGGGACTGCTTTTGGTCTCCTCTTAGTTTGATGGTGGGCTTGGTGTTGTCACAGCGGCGGCTGCGACTAAAGCCGCACTTTAGGTTGAGTGAGTCCAGATCGGGTTTGGGGTGTGTGTGTGTGTGTGTGTGTGTGTGTGTGTGTGTGCTAGGGGTTAGAACACAGGTTACGAAGGGAGAGGGCAATGCTGGACCTTACATATGGCCTTTACCGATGAAGGCTTATGACGGACGGCAGCCAGAAATTTGGTCGGATATGTAACGCCGCTGGCTTGTGCAAGTCAAGCGCGAAACACAGTGGGCAACTTAATCTTTCGATAGGAAATATACGAGCCGCCCCTAGTGCCTTGTCGTAATCCCGAGAGGGCACCAACGTCGGCAAGGGTATCGGTTGGCTTCGAACGAGTTTCTTGGTCATTAACGCAGTATTAAAGCGTTCTACAAGTTTTTGTTGGGGGTTCAGTGTTTATAAGAATCCGGGAAGCTGGCTCGGGTTCAACCCAGGCATGAGTTACATCGGTGCCTCAGTAGCTTTGACACTAGTACTTTGACATCTTTTTGTTTAACCTTTACCGCTCGGTAGTGCGCCCGTTGATGGAAGTCTGGGTGAACACGAAGGCGGGTCGCATCTGACAGCTGGACTGAGTAGGCGAGAGAGAGGGTGCATACTGCCATTTCGGTGATTCTCTATAGGGCTCCTTATGAACACTGGTGAGAGTGGTAGTGAGCGTTAGATTATGGGGCTAGGACAACAAGCCCTTCCTCACGTGATGCTCATTTAGTTTGCTTCCCAGATACTGTAGCTGCCTAGCTCCTTTCTTAGTTGGGCATGCCTAAGCCCTTCCGCATAAACCTATAAGTCTATAAGCCCAAAACCCCAACCGTGAATCGAAATTGAAAGTGCCCGAGTGTAAGCGTCGAAGAATGGAAATTGCATATTTTCAAGGTCCACGCTGCCTCGAAAGGGACTTGCCACTCGCAGAACCGAAATCATGACCGTAGCAGTACTTGAGATATTGCGGCAGTGCTGCGATCAAGCAAAGTGTTGTTGTTTTGCGACGGACTTGAAACGGCTTCGAATCTTCAGATGAATAGCTGTACGTGAGGTTTTGGATCCGGGCTTTGCATCAACTGCAAAAGTACCAGTCAGCGCTTCAGTCCAGCATTGAGGACTGTGATTGATGCATGGGACTGCCCGTATCGCATCGTCATACCTTTGTCAGTATGCCATAATTCGCTCAAAGAACCTCAGCTCAGAACACTTGCTTAACTCAAAGTGCTCTCGAGCTCTTTCTTTCCGTTGCACATCTGCTTCGGCAGAAATTTTGAGCAACATGACATTTTCGGGACCGGCTACGCTCTAAGGCGAAAGCCGAGCCCGAAGCAGATTGCCATCCTGGCAGAAGAGATTCACACTTGGATCGATTTGTTTACACTCTCGGAAGCTCGGCTCATCGCGCAGGCCTCTCTTGTCTGATGCCGCGAAAGACTTTCTGGGCATCAGCAACAGGTCGAGGTATACTCGGAACTCAGCATGGAAGGGGCGGTTTTTGTTGAAGAAAAGGCGCGCTAGTGCTCGATGGCATTCGCTTCTCGACCCAAAGCCGGACTATTGGTCCTCGTAATCGCCCGTAGCCCTTATATACCCCTTCCAAGGAACGTCTAAAATAGTGTAGGTAATTATTCAGGCCCATATGGGTGGTTGTCAAAATAAGGGTCCCTTTTTGGGTCCTTTAGAAGGGACCCTTATTTTGACAACCACCCATATCTTGATCACCTTGAAGATTTTCAGGAAGCTCCGAGTCATGGACCTCATCGGGCTGAGTCCGAGAGTGAGAGCAGAAGGGTAGGAGCTTCTATAGATCCCTGAGGGTTTTGTTTGATTGAACAGTCCAAATCACAGGGGCCCAAAAAGTTCTAGCCAAAATTGTGCGGTTTTGGGGTTTATAAGGCTCCAAAATGGTACGTTGAGAGCCAAAGTGCACTTAGTTGCAACCGCTCGCTTGGGAGTCGTGAGGATCCCGCCTTCGAAGATGCGCCGATGCCTTGGATGCTGCGTTAGTAAGAATAGTGAGAAGAAGACCAACACTTGCTAATAAGAATAAAGATAATGAGAATAAGAAGAATGTTGCTGTATGAGCTGTTGGGATTGAGGCTTGAGGCGTAGGGCTCTAGGGTTGAAGGCTGAGGGTCTATGCTCTTCGGGCATATCCTGACATCACGGCATAGTGACGGCGAGCAAGTGGCGTCGAAGAGGAGGGGCCTGACGGGAGTTGTCTGTAGCATCGAAGTCCCAGGTATGGCCAGTTTGCCGGACGAATCGATGTAGACAATGCCGGTGCCCCAGAGTTCATGTCACACATTTGTTTCAGGAAGGAAGGTCATCAGGATCAAGGCTTCATGGTCTGGTCGTTCAGGTTTTTGACCAGTAAATGACCGGAGCAGAGCAGTATGACCCCTTACCCACGTTTGCGTTACGTGCCGAGGTGCGACCGAGAGACATGCACGTGAGCAGATTCATAGCTGTGGATCACCTTAGAGTTCACGTGTGCATGGCTTCCAGTCTCCAGATATTCAGATCTGCAAGGACATGTTTCGGGGTAGGGTGTTTATTCTCATCTCAGGTGTACGCTTTTCGGCTCAGTATTAACACATATGCATGAACATCGACATGCTGGAGGCCACTGTACCTATGTTGAGACGGAATGCAGCATCGAGAGCTTCAGAGGCTTGCTGCACTCGTGCAGTCAGAGAAACCGGCGAGACCCGAAGCGCGTACAGCAACAGCAGACGATTTTTTTACGTATAAGTCATATTTTTTGCTATGTACCACCTACTTGCCTTGCAACAACAGCAGTTGCGATAGCGGAGGCTGAGCGAGCTGGTTGCGCACCGTTTCGCAGCTTTAGTGAAATATCGTTTGGTACGCAGCAGGCCCCGAACATCTCAAAGGTGTGTGTGTGTGTGTGTTGTGGTGCCGTTGGCGCGTACACATTGGATTATCAGCAGAGTTTGCTCGAAGTCACAAGCTTGTCGCACCGTCAGAACTCATGCATCTGCACATAGGTTAACGGCCGCTTTGGTCTTCAGTGCTTTCGGGTTTAGGGGGCCCTAGAGCTCCAGGGTCTTGCGGCTTAGGGTTCAGTTCATTCTGTATAGGCAGGTAGGATTTTATGTTTTCAGGCTCGGGATCCTTCCCCGAGCAGTGCGGTACCCACGAAGGGGTCCTTGGGTTGTGAGGGCTCTCTTGGCGGTCCCTCCTGGCCTGCGGACCTGGGAAGCCACGAGATGCCATGAAGCCGAGGTCGATTTGGAGAAGTATCCCGGGTGGGATCAGCTGAGGCCGAAAACCTTGGGGCTGCCACAGGGTGGGACCAATGGTCGGATCCAGGTCTAGGCCTGTTTCGAGCGAAGGTGTCAGGGCTTCTTGGGTGTAAGTAGCTTTGAGAGTCGTGGCCAGGGATCAGCTCTGATGGTTTCCTGTTTCGTGGCTCAGAGACACAGTCTGTTTGTCGGGATTCTGTCTCTCTCTCTCTCTCTCTCTCTCTCTCGCTCTCTTTCTGTTCGCGTAGGTTGTATTTACGGTTGTGTTGTTGCTCGGGGCTGTCCTATGCCTGAAGTTTGCCCGTAGCTGCGTCTAAGTTGAAATAAACTTGTGACACAAACGCCGTCCTTTCGGCCTAAGGGTTTAGCACTGCCCCGGGCGTTCGAAGTCCCCTTCGTCCTAAACGCAAGTCTTCCCACCCGAAGTCGCTGAGCCAGGAGCTGGCGCCACACCCCAAACAAATCCAAAAACGACAGCACGCAAAGAAAAAGATCAGTGTTCTTACCTTCGGTTAGTAGGGAATGGAAGAATGGTAGTACTAGTAGTTATAATTGTACCCCATTCCTCCATACCCAACTATCCAAAGGTAAGTGTTTGAAACCCGGAGACTCCTCAAGGCTTCAACCAACCCTGATCAAACTTACACACTAAGCCCCCCCCCACACCCTGACCCTAAACTGGGCCGTGAGGTGGTGGAACATGACACTGAAGGCCGGAGATTGCGCCTTCGTGCCGCGTCAGTGGCGTGAGCCTGAGCTCTTTACCCAGCGAGCTATAGTCTCCATTGCAGCTCCTTTTCCAAATATATAATGATTCCTTAAAGGGATCTATAAGGGTTCTTTCAGGGAATTACCTATAGTCTCCATTGTTGCTCCTTGAGCTTCACACAGACTGGAGCGATCCCTTGCATCTCAAAGGGGGTATCTCTTAACTACACACAGAGGGTCTTCAACTGATCCAGAGATCCTGACTATGGTTCATGATCTCTTTCAGAGCCAAGCGGCTATGTACTCTCTGGTCTAAGGGAGTTTTGGAGCTTTGGGATTCGGTCTAGTGTCTTGTGGCGGGCTAGGGCTTGTTGTGGGCACTGCAAGGTTTCGCCAATGCGGATTAAGGGACGTAGTCTGGTGTTGGGGAAAAGTGCTGACGTCTTAGATGCTGCAGGGTTTGGGACATAGGACTGGGCATATTGCCCCTACTTTCAGATTTCTGCCCTGCCATTTTGTTAATTTCTTTCAGTTTATCTGCACACATAGATGCAACAATGACTCAATGCTCCAAGCCTGGGTATGTCCAAGAATTTCACTATGCGGTGGGCGCTTGAAACAATGTGTCATTTCGCGTACTCGATTTGAACCAGACCAGAGTCACCCTTGCAACAAATCCACACAATGAGCTAGTCTGGAGGTCCTTTTTGGGTCCTTATTATAGTACGGCACCTAATATTTAGGGTACCCAAAAAACGGAGCATAATTTTGACAATCACCCATGTGCTAATGCTTGACATAATGCTACTACTCGTAAACAAACCCTAAACCGTAAACGGTTCACACACCTCAGAAACACACTCACAGGTTTCATTTCGTTGAGTCGCCGGCAATCCGCAGCATCAGCACTGGACCAAGAGGTTTAGTGGAATGCCTGGGTTTAAGACCTATAAAGGATTTAGGGGCTTAGGGTTCAGGATTCAGGGTTTGAGGGGATTCTGGCCGGGCGAGCGCTAATCAAGCCTGTGGAAAAAGGGTGTGAGGGACTAGCTTAGGCTTAAGGGGACATGGCCTTTCGACTGACTTGGTGGGCCATAGCTCGCGGTTTCGGCTTCGGCGTGGATATCAAAAGCTTATTCACACGCTGCGGCCGAAATGTTGAGGGGCAGAAAGTCAGAATCTGATAGACCTTTTCGCCCAGAGCCCGAGTCAATACACAAGACACGTTCTTAGGTTCGCTCGGCAGGTCTAAGGTTGATACAGCATAGGGAAAGACGTGCCACCCCATCCACAACTCGGGTTCTGTCAGAGTCTCCGACGAAAGTTCTGGTCCCCGATGAATGCATTTGGTTTAGGGCTTAGGGGTGGTGATCACCATGCGGGATCCTTTCCTCGTCCTTGGTTTTCGGTTGGGGTACTGGCCTCGGTCTCGAGACCCCGGCCCCAGGGGGGCCTGCGCAAGCCACGTGGTCGGGTTTGCCTTGTGCTGCTTAAGTGCCAGTAAGCAGCAAGCAGCCGTGAGCAGGTCAGTAGCTTTAGACCTGCACCTTACAGCATCGAACAACCATGCATCGTACAGCAAAACGCAAGGCATCAGACAGAAGTGGCATGCAAAAATCCAGCAAATCCCAGCTTGGAATAGCTGTTCGGTGACTTTGAGGAGAGCATTTTCAACTGCGGTAAAGGGCTGCGGTAAAGGACATTGTTCGGGCCCTGGTTGTTCTAAGTGTGTTACCTTTACCCGCCATCGCTTTTTCGTCACTGTGCGCCTGATGCCTCAACCGTACCCATCCATGCTTGGACCCCAGCGGCACCCATATTGCGAAGCGCCCAGCCATGTTCTGCACGGAATGTGCAATACAACCAGCGCAAGGAGCGCCACGAAACGGTTTCTAGATGCAGTGTTTTTGGGGGGTCCCAAACCCAAAGCTCTTCCGACAGAGCATTCTTAGAGGCATTCACGTGTGGTTCTTTGGCGACCGCTTCGAGAAGAAGGGCTGCAAGGCGGGCGGCATCGCAGCAGTAGCGTTGCTGTAGTAGCAGTAGCAGTAGTAGTAGCAGCAGCTGCAGCAGTAGCAGCAGCACGAGTGGTAGCAGTGGGAGTAGCGGTCGCAGAAGGAGCAGCTGGCGCAGCAGCAGCAGCAGATGTGAACGAGGGCGGCGTAGGCAGAACGCAGCACTACAGGCACTGCAGGTCGTAGTACAACCAGCGGGCAGTATTTGACACTTAGCTTTGGATAACGTGGCCTTACATGCACCGTTTTCTTGGTGGCAACTAGTAGTGGCAGTTGACAACGGCACATTCCTCCAGCAGCCTCGCGGATTTTCTTCGAAACTCAACACATCTACGACCGTAGACTCTGAACCCAGACTGCATTGGATACCGTATAAGTTGTTCCTCGGGCTTTACTAGTGGGCCAACACCGCCGCCCTCCAATCTAAAGACTGCTAACGCAATACATACATGAAGTGCAAACCAGATATTCAACCAGAGCTGCTGAGTTCTTGAACTGCATGGGACTTTGCAGACATGTGCAGGCAATAGCCGATGTACAATCCCCATAAATCTGTTAGTGAGGTTTTGCTAAATTCTCCCTGAGCCCTACTACGCCCTTCCAGAACCTTGCCAGTGAGGCCTTGGAAGAGAAAGGGGTGGACCTGGCCAAGCCGCTCTACCGGCCCGGCACTGAGACAGCTTGAGGCATATCCTAAGCCCGAACAGAAGCCCTTCTGCCTTGAGCCAAATGTAAGCCCAGCCCTTAAGCCTTGAGCCCTAAACCCAACCATAACAGCCTGGCCTACAGTTCCGAGTTGCGAAAGCCCAAACTCGAACTTGAACGCAGGGTTCGCGCCAAAGCTTTTGAAGCTTCGAAGAGTAGCCTGGTGCTTGTGTATATATACATATAGGTAGATAGCAGCGTTTTCCAGGGCTCCGGCTGCATACAAATCTCAAGCCCGTTAGGCTCCTCTTTGCTCAGGATAGGAGATTGCAGCTTCGGCTACGAACCCGCCAAAAAAGGATCAGGCAACCTGGAGACATGGAGAGATGTCAGGGCTTTTGTGGTGGTGGCTTCTAAAGTTACACAGGGCGGCCGAAAGGAAAAATGTTGATCCTGCATGGGCAATATTCGGAAAAGCCTTGCATCCACGATCGATCTCACGTCGGGCACAAGATCTCTCGAGAGTTCGACCGGTAGTACTACATAACCATCAGAGTGCCCAAGCCAAGAAGCCGAAACCCTCGAAGCCCTGAGCCAGAAAACACTGGGGAATAGGAGAAAGCCTCCTTGAGCTCGGCCAGGCACGCACTGCAAGAGGCCGAAGAATCCATTGCGACTCTGCTCATGAAAAGCTCAGCATGGCCATCCTGCCTAGCGCACATTTGATTCTCCTAAGGCTGTGATATGCTAGCTTGGTATCAGGGTGATGAGTGCGCTTCAGCAGGGCCGTATGCATGCACCAAATATAAGGCATGAAGCATGGAATAGAAAAAAGCAGTAATGCCTTAATGGGAAAGTTGGCAAGCACTTGCCCCTCCCTCCGCGAAACCCTATGCCACTATGCACAGCAGTTTGGTGCAAAGCTTCCGCAGAAGGGAACACAAGATTCGGGATGAGGATGACAGCTGGGAAACCATGAGCTCAAAGAAGGGCGAGTCCTCGCACGAGATCAGACATGCTTTAGGGGGGTTTAGGGTTCTTTTAAGGGGCACTATAAGGTTTCCTTTAAAGGGTTACTACAAGGGTACTACTACAGACGCAAGAGCCTCAAACTGTTCTCGATTTCACCTAAGGGTTCAACAGGTTGCTGGATGTCACGAGTGTCTTCAAGAAGTCCAAGACAGGAGCAAGAAAAAAAATGCTGCAACGCAAGCGCTTGGGGATTCTGCTTCTTCATGGTGTCACATCTTGGCCGGTGTTTTATTCTGGTGTCCTATCTCACGCTGTCTTGCTTCAACCTCTCCGGGCTGAACTTAAACAGTATGTCCTCACTCTTGAGCTATTCACCTTGACATGCCTTACCTTCCTGCAAACTGCACTGTCAATACTTTTGACATTCGTCTTTCCTAGCTAGCCGTCGAGTCATGCAGCTGGCCAGGTGCTCTGCCAAGTACAACTCAGTTAGTTATAAGTTGGTAGCTTTGGTATTCGTTTACACTTGTTATGATAACAAGTCTACGTGCCAGCCCTGCATCAAAACTAGCACGTGTAAACACAAGTTGGGTTAACCCCGCGGCAGCAGTTGGGGAAGCAGTTAGGCCGAGATCTTCGCACTTCCTGTCTACACCCCACGGAAAGCATCCAACCATGCGAACGGCTCCGGATACGTTGAAGCTGAAACGGATCCTGCTCTCGCAGGGTTCAGACCCCAACTCGAGACCGAACCCGCCAAATCTGAAGAAACTTGAAACAGAATCCAAAGCTTGAATCGCTAAACCCCAAACCCCTAAGCCCTAAACCCTGTCAAGTTGGCTCTAAGGCCGAGCAAAGCTGAGCTTTGAGGCTTGCCCGTCCGGCCCTGAAGAGACAGGGTCTAGGGGTTTAGAGAGGAGAGAGAGAGAGAGAGAGAGATAGATAGATAGATAGAGAGATAGAGAGAGATGGCTTCTTAGTCTATAGGGCTTCACAGGGTTTCAGAGGGTTTCGGAGGGGTTATAGGCGTTTAAGTCTTACGTATGGTTTAGGGTGAAGGACCTGCAGGGTTTTTTGCTGGCCAAAGCTTAGGAACGAGGGTGTTCGTGGTTCCAGGGCTGGGTCTTTTTCTAGGCCGGTTCCGATGGCAGGACCTTACTGCCTAAGATTTTGGGGCTTGCGGCATGCCTGTGTTTTGGCGAGGCTTGGGGCATTTAGTGAGAACCTCCATTGCTCCTTAGTCTAGAGGCAGCCGGCCTGAATGAGAAATGACGTGAATCCTAATCCAGACCCGAAGGGCGAACTCACAGAACGTGCAAAACCAGCACTTGGATGGATCTGAAACGTTTAACCTTAATTACCTAAAACCCTAAACCTGGAAAGAAATCACAATTATCGTCGTCCCGATCCCCTGGCTAAGCCCTTTGACAGACGAGGCCCAGCTGCAACATCTGAGTGAGGGCCGGAAGATGACGCGAGAGCTATCCATCTCCACAGCAAGGGCTGAGAGTTTGGGGGCCTAGGCTCTTTATTTTAGGGTTACGCGGACTCAGAGCATGGTGCAAAATGCCTCAAACTCTAGAAAGCACCATGTAAAGCTGGCACTTGTCCTTCATAGCGACCATAGCCATAGCGATCTTCAATACTTCAGCTCTCTAGCCGTTTTTCTCCTGATGTTGGGCGGAACGGACAGCGACTTGATAGTGTTTTGAGTAAAACGTAGCGTTAAGCGTTGCGGCCCTGGGCCCAAACCGATATCTTGACCTTCATTCCCAAGCTCACCTAAGCCACGCCCTAAACCGACAACCCAGTGCCCTCGCGCGCTTTCACCGCTTCAACTCTTCGACCTTTGCTCGTGCCTGGAGCATCCGACTTCTGAGAGAGTTAAAAACCAAAATATTCGAGTTTCCGAAAATAGGGGACCCTAATATAGTACCCTAAATAGTAGGATCCTCTTTATAAGGACCCCAAAATAAGGTACCCCTATTCTCGTAAACTCCCAAACCTCGCACCCTATATGACTGAATTTGGGTTTTCAGGTTAAGGGTGTCGGGATTTAGGCCTTAGGGTATGGTCGGAATGAATACAGATGAAAATTGTCAGTTTTCCCGTGTCTAATCTGATCTGGAACTCAGATTCTGATGTTAGATGACGAAATCGAACCTTCATTGGTTACGAGCCTGAGCTTAGGCCTGAAAGCTCGACACCCTCAATTGTAAGCCCTCCGCAAGCCGAAAACCCCTCAGCTGCATGCCTGCCCCCTCGACCCGCGAGCCCATCCAAAAACAAGTGAAGGCTAAACCTTGGGAAAAGCCGTGCCTTTACGGTTGCCCGGTGCTCCACTTGTGCCTCCCCCTCGCAGGAACACATGGCGCGCTTGGCTGTCGGAGCTCTCAAGGAGGCCCAAGAAAGCACTTGGACCTGGAAATCAAGCCTAGAACGGTTGCAGGGTTTCTTTGCTTTACACCCCAACTTTCAACCTCGGAAACCTGTACCACCCTGAGCCTCAAACGAGAACCAAGCCGAAAACACAGCCAGGCCGGGAAGCGTGGCATCATCGTCGGAGGCTACTCGAATCGCAACAACTTTGGGGCTTAGGAATCAGGGCTTTCAAGGGGTACCTTGTTACCTTGTTTGTCCTGGGTTTAGGGTGTAGGGCTAGCGGTTGGGGTGCCTCGCCGATGGATGACGAGCAGCACTACGATTACCACCGCGAACCTTAAATTCTGATGACCGAAATCCCAAGGCCCTAAAGCCGTAAAGCCCTGCTGCCGCAGCCCCTTAGATCGTGTAGTTTATGAACATTCCGATGATATACCCCAAACTACGTGGCGGCTTTGTTGATAAAGTTACGGGCATTCCTGCATGCAGGGCTATTCTGCTCCCAAGCCAGTGCTTCCAGGTCCTAGATGCTGCACCCCAATGGCCACTAGAAGGTAATTTAAGGTAATGCGGTAGGGAATATGACACATGGTGCCCTGATAGATAGAAGATCGAATCCAGACTTCATCCAGGTTAAAGTTGTCATTGCTTTCATAGCGGACTGGCTAAACCAGGGTTTAGGAGTTTAAGGTGTAGGATACTCAGATCCCAACTCATGTGTTCCCTTGCGCGCTTTGCAGGTTGGGCTGAGCTCTCGGCGGAGCCTCATCCCTACAAACAGGGCTGTTCTTTGTAGCTCTGGGGCTAAAGGGTGCTGAAGCCTAATGAACAAGGATGTTGTTGATCTGCTGGAAGGGGTGTCGAAGTTTCGGCTTTTGTGGGTGACGTTGGGCTTCAACAGGTGTGGGAGATCGCGGGTCTCGGGCAGAATGCCAAACCTCAGGGCCAGGGGTCTCTTCCATCTACTCGGGGCTTGGGGTCCCAGGTTCAGAGCCTTGCCGCGACCTTGCAGGGTTACTTGCCTTCGCGATGTCATGCCTCTGCAAGTGCTCCTGTAAGGCATCACCTGGATTCTTGTCGGGAGAAATATCTGGAGAAGCTCCTCGACGAACGTACAAATGCCTTTGCTCGCCCGAGTCTCTAAACAGTCTCCGAACACCCTGCATGAATCAAACTTTCCGCGTTGGCAAACGCCACAGGCCGCATCGTTCATTCCCGCCTCCCTGATGTTACTGGCATTTGCGAAGTGTCCTGAGACTAGGCGCCAACTTGTAACTGGCAAAGCCCACCCCTGATTCAAAATACCTGGCATACCTGTACCATCATATGGCCGCGAGGTCTTTAGGTGGGGACGAGTACGAAGATCTCAAGGCAGCTCCCGCCGAAATTTTGACCGCAGGGCGTGGTTTTTGGGCTACGGTCGGAGCCTTCTGGGGCCTAGGGCACGGAAGTGCGAAGGCTTCGGGGCAGTGTATGGTTGCAGGTTCTTGTGTTAGTCCCATTCTGTCAGCGCTGGAGTCAAGGACATGCCAGGTGGACACTGTTTACAGCCCGTTGCACCGTGTGAGGGCTACCCCAACTAGGCCGACCACCCTCTCCTCGGATTCTGCATTTTCACACCCTATCTGCTACAAAACTTGTCAAGAGAACCCTGAAGCATTTCGGAAGTTTGCAGACAACATCTCTGAAATTGAAGTTGGAGATCCTGTTTTACCACCGATGGCCTAGATGAACATGTTGCATATTCTTCGGGCGAACATGCTTGTATTCCAGTGCCTGTCCATCTGTCACGCCTGCAGTTGTGTTGTCCTGCTTCTTTGCCATCGAACAATATTCTCTCACGGTGACCTTTTCCATCATGGTGTGACCTGCTCTCCAAACCTTGCTTGGTACGCTGGGTTTGGGGTTTCTCCTTATTGTCCAGACCCTATGCACTCTCAAGCCTACAACTCAGGGACCCAGAAGCAGACATGGCCAACTTTCGTGGCCAACCGCTACACTAGTTACCTGCATCGCAGAGTGTGTTAGTCACATGCCAAGTTTCGCAGGCATACAGCCGCGAGAACGTGCTGTTCCTGAAGGCATGCCCAACTCAGCGCTGAGATCTTTGTGCCACCTGCGTCCCCGGGAGACCTTCATAAAGACAAAAACTCAGCAACCATTCGTCACCAGCTCTGAGAATTGGTCTTCTTGTAACTGAACTTCTGCAGGAAAGGCAGCGCCGATTCGTGAAGTTGTAGGATGCAAGGTTGCCAACCCAACATCTACTTCGACCAGATGTCCCAGGACATGTCTTGGTCAAAACCAGTCGATTTCTCACAGTTTATTTCAGCTGATGGTATGTTTTCTGGCAAATGAGCAGTCATCACGAGCGCCGTGGGCCTTTGCCTCTCGCATGAGACATCCACGACAATCGATGTCACATTCGGCTTGTTGTGATCAGCTCGTAGTTCGACGTACAGATTTGCTGAATTTACCGTGTACAGTGATCGTAGGATTAGGAATTGGAGTCCTGCAGAAGTGTCTGGGAACTGCTGACAGTCTGCGCCGCACGAATGGCTCTTCCCGCAGTGCCTCTGTCGGAGCCCCATGTGACAACATGCGCCGGCAGCACAGGGGCGTCACCCAGACTGTTCATTGTAATCACATTCGACCTATTGCTTCAAGTGCATACCCCCCAATCCACGCCTCCATGATACCCAGGCTGTGTGCATCACGGAGGCATCGGTACAACACAGGCCTGCTAGCTCTTGGGGTTGGGCCATCGGAAGATTTGGAAGATCAACCAAGTCTGGCTGAAAGATGCAGGGATCCGCGCTAGAGTCAGCTTTGGACCACTATCTTGAGCAAAGGGCGACGAAGCGCACTGCCCGAGTTTTTCTATGTGCTTACTAGCTTGCCGCACTTAGTAGCACTGGGGTTCCTTCTTTGAGGTATAGTCTAATGGTCTCATCCAAAGCCCCGTTCTCATCACTGAGGACGCTTACCCGCAGCAGTTCGCAGTGAGAGACTGGGAAAAGCCCTGGTTGTGGGCACTACGGTTTCGGCTGGCACAGGCCTCTCTCAGCGCGGGCGTTCCCACGGTCGTGACTCCCGTCTTTGCGGACCAGGCTTGGATGCCATCTTGTTGCTGACTCTTGACCCTGTCAGCCGACGAGTGCTATGCGCGTACCACTTCCAGTCGTGCATTGGTTTCATGCCCTGCACTTGCAACTGTTATGGTGGTGCAATAGTTTCAATTTCCGCGATCCTGCCGGTTGAACGCCACAGTTACGATGAGTTCGATACTATTGATAGGAAATGCTGCTCCCGGTGCGACTGTCCCGAAGTCAAAACGACAAGCCAGTTCGTATTTCCATTTCATGTTCTTGAACCCTGACACTTTTGACGGCATCCCTTGAACAGAAAGACATTGCAAAGAAGCTGACGGAAGACAAGCCAGGGCCTTATGGGCGTTGACACACATGGGGCTGATGAGCAGGTAGGG